TAAAATTGACTAGATGATTCTCATGATACCCCAAAGGATTAACGAACTCCACAAAGCGAAAGGGAGGTCTACTAGATATGTTTTAAATTATAAATATATCAATTCATGTGAATATGACTGAAAAATTTCTTTTTTTCTGAAAAGGTGGTGTCTATTTACTTGTGACCACTCAGTGTACTCTCTTTACAACAAGAACACGACTTTCACTAGGACTGTACGTGAGAGTTTGTTTATGTCTTTATTGATGTAATTTGTAAATATATACTAATATGGAATTCTTAAGAAAAAACTTATTTCTTTCAGTAAAAGGTACCAATTTTAATATATAACAATATTACAGTTTATATCAATACAACCCGAATACTCTTCCCATGCAGCACTTCCCAGAAAAATAATTTTGTTTTTTCTAATTTTTTTTCAATGGGGTATGAATACTACGATTAGTAATTACTAGCACAAACAGCCGCCTGTAGGGCAGCGTTTCTGCTAGTAACGACAATGGTTATAACAGCTACATACATCTCAGTCTGAAATACTACTAGTAATAACAAGACAATATTTTACACCAGGTAGCATGCACAGCAATGTTACCGAGACAGGGTGTAAAACATTTCTTTGCACCCATAGTACAGAGAGAATGTTTGTAAAAAGTCTTAACACTGGCAATACCAAAACAAGTTGCGCAAGAGAGCGGTGGGAACCGGTTCCATTTTGGTTGCTCAACAATATTGTCTTTTGACTAAGATAAATTCTAATCCACGGAGAAAGAACCAAAACACGCTTATTTAATTTGACCCTAAAATTCTATTATGCCTCATGTTTACATTCTTCATTACACGTTGTTGTTGTTGTTTTCCGATTCTCTTACAAGAACTGTAGTAATGGGCAAATACGTGTCACTTTTTTTAAGATGTCGCGTATAACCACCTGAGGTCCTCCCAGTGGGATGGCAAGTCTACGGACTTACAACGCTAAAATCAGAGGTTAGATCACCGTCGGTGGACACAGCAGATAGCCCGATGTGGCTTTGCTATAACTAAAACACACATAACCACCTGAGTGAATATAACTGTTTCTTTATCAATGATGCAACTCCTTCTAAATATTTCTTAAAAACAAATAAAACCACGAATCTAAAAACTCACTGCAAACTTTATCTCTCAATACCATTACTGTATACACAGAATCGTGGACCCAACTGACGTTTTCTACACTGGGGGTTTTGAGGAATTTTTACATTGTGTACTTACTTCTTCAGAACTTGTTTCAAATGTATTACAATTCGTAAAAATAACTTTAATGATTGTCACGTAAAGGATTCTGCAGTCACGAGTAGTTTTATATGGATTAACAGTTGCAAATATTTTTAAATATAGAAGTTCAGTGTATAAACTTGAAGAAAAGTTCATACGTAAAATAAAGATATTAGGTTTTTATATTTCATTTCCACCGTAGTTAATATCTTTTGCCCGTCTTGAAACAAATTAAGGTAAGAATTCCAATTATTTTTTCGAATACTTAAATTTTTAATTGAGAGACGGTTCATTCAGAGTTCTCAATCTGTAAATGATCCTGATTTTGTTTTGTTTTTTCTTTATCCAATTATTTACTTTTCATAATGTTTACATGCACAGGTAGCAGCACTAGTAATTCTCTGATTTTTTTTTTGTATTATTATTGATTGTTTATCCAATTAGTTACCTTTCATAATGTTTACGTGTACAGGTGGCAGCACTAGTGCTTCCAGGAATTCCTCCAAGTTTGTCGTATATATTCTTCCACAATTTTTTCGACGTAATCTGTGACAATTTCGAAAAAAGCCTGTCATTAACAAATGAATATAACAAAAACATGAAAATTAATTTATTTTGAGCTAAACCCTACTTAGTTACCCAAACATACAAGGAAAACATTTAAACCGTTGTTAACAACACCCATGGTAATTTTTTTCAGGCATGCGAAGTGCTAAGTGGGTTAAGCCATTTCACACTGACCATTAAGTAGTCTCGGACATTATTGCGTGTGTTCAACAGCGCAAATGAATGGCCATTTTGTAAGTACTTGTTTATTTTTCATAAGTCAGCAGTCATCTTGCCACAGAAACTGATAAATGAGAGATGTTCGCTCAACCTGAACATTATACATTATTAGTAGGTGGGAGGTGGAGAGAAGCGTGACACTTCGACACGTATTCCATGGAATTACACTGCACGTCTGGACTACTTTTTATAAGACAAGTAAAGCGTGGAATATGTCATTTAGCAATACTTTAATTGTAGTGAAATGTATAAAATGTCTAACGACTAATTATCATCAAAACTACTTATAGAAATAGACTAATATTCTAAATAACACGAAACTAACGTTTCTTTCGAATTCCGCGCAAAGCTAGTTGGGGGCTATCTGCGCTATTCGTAAATAATTTTGAAATCATAGACTAGAAAGAAGAGAGCGACTCAAAACTACCCTGGCCCGGCATGGTCAGGTGGTTAGGGCACTTAACTCGCAACTTGAGGGTCGCGGGTTCGATTCTCCGTCCCACCAAGCATGCTCGTACTTTCAGCTGTGGGGGTGTTATAATTGTATGATCAATCTCATTATTTGTTGGTAAAAAGAGTAGCCCAAGAGTTGGCGGTGACAGGTGATGACTAGCTGCCTTCCCTCTGGCCTTTCACTGCTAAATTAGGGACGGCTAGCGTACACAGCCCTCGTGTAGGTTTGCGCGAAATTCAAAACTACCCACCGCCAACTCTTAGGCTACTCTTTATCAAAGAATAATGGAATTGACCAGCTGAAAGGGCAAGCATGTTCGGTAACGGGTTTCGATCCTGTGGCACATAGCTTGCGAGTCGAGCGCCCTAACTTATTCCAGACTCTCAGGCAACAGATAAAGTTCACTAGGGTGTTTTGTAAGTATTTTTATGTTAAGAGTGGCCGTGTAAGCAGTGGTCACCCTACCTCGGTCAACAGTTACACAGGATCTCTGAAAAGAGTAGAAACAATACATATGTTGGCGACTAAAATTTTTAAAAAGCTGCATTATTCAAAAAGACAACGAGTGTTAGGAATATTTCTATCAATTTAGAATTCTCCTCAAATTAGAAAGAAAATCAATGAGATTATATAACTGAAAAACCGAATAACTTGTCTCCAATCGAATATAAAGTTTTTACAACGTGATATCACTACGTGGTCAAGTCTGTTTGGATCGGTATTTGGTCCTTGTACGCAACCTTGGAGGGTCAGGTTCTATTCAGACCTCTTCCTCCCTCTTTTACTATTGTTTGTTAAGCTGTCAAATGGGCTTGAATACTAAGTAAATAAACACCAAGTTAAAACAGTTTCCAGCATTTAGTGTTATTTCACCACTTCTCTTCATGTAGTCGTTTACACTCACAAACAGTTATATAGTAAAATGTCACTTTTCCACTTGAAGTAGTTACCAGACATATATCTAAGCAATATTTTATGGTCTAGTGCGGGTGAACTTTTTCTTATAGTAAAAATTGAGTGGAGAGAGATACTTAGGACTATCATCGTCATGTATGATATAGCGATCTACTGCACTTTATATAGATTTTAATCAAATGTTTGAACGAGCAACCTATGAGTCTTTTGTGGATTGGTTTTATATTTGCATATTTATGCATGAATTTTAGGTTAATTGATCTGAGTACTGTGAATGTTGTGTTGATTATTGCATTCTGTACAGTCTGTGATTTCTTAATATGTGTGTATTGGTGCTACATAAGTCCAAGCTGGACAGACGTATTCTACTACTGGTTGTATGTATTGTTTATATATTTTAGTGATATTTTCTGGTGTGGCTCCCGTATTTTTACCAGTCAGTTTCTATACATAGTTTTCTCATTGCCAGACTGCGTTTCTGATTTGACTGATATGATTTTTCCAAGTTAATCTTGAATCACACGTTACTCCAAGAAATTTTGCTGATGTGAGGACATGTAAAAAGAGTTCTGTGCAAGTATATATGTCGGGAGGATTTCTAAGGGTTTTGTTGATTTTGAAAATAGAACCAGGTGTGTCCAAAATGTCTTTGGGTCCGTGTATTCGTTTAATTGCGAGCAAGAAGTGTACCAATTGTCTTGTTTTAATTGTTTTATTTCATTTCGAATTTTGTTCCTGAGTGTATTTATCTGAGTTTTGGTGAACGGGTCTCTAGTATTCGTATATTGTCTTCTTAGGTGGCGACGTTGTTTTATCATATTTATTATTTGTGCGTATAGTTGCCATTTATTATCAGCTGTTTATTGTTTTTGTTTTGTTATAGTCTGTTTGACAGTAGTCATCAATATCAGATGATTTGATTTATTGTTGATTATGGTAATAAGTGGTCTAGGAATTTTGCATATTCTTCCCAATTTGCTTTTATATAATTAAATGTTGGTTTTCTTATAGGTTTAATACGGTGAGATTCAAGAACGATGACACGTGTTATAGGTAAATGATCATTGTCTAAATCAAATCCAACATTGACGTTTGAACATATCACTAATTTGTAATGAGCTTATACACAAATACATGATATCACTAGAATTATGTGAGACTTGTGTGTGTAGGAGTGGTATCATTCAACAACACATGTATAGGAGTGGTATCATTCAACAACACGTGTGTAGGAGTGGTATCATTCAACAACACATGTATAGGAATGGTATCATTCAACAACACATGTATAGGAATGGTATCATTCAACAACACGTGTGTGTAGGAGTAGTATCATTG